AAAATACGGACTGATACAGGTTTCTGAGTTTTGTCCCCATGGTATGAACAGTGCCCCCTTCCAGCATGAAGCGTTTGGAATGAGCGACGTCCTAATTCCAATCTTGTTTATAAACCTTTGTTTTCATTTAAATGGGATTGTTTATAATTGGTTAATGATCACAACCAATCTCCTTTTAATGGTAAAAAGGGGAATTATGGTCTGGGTATTGTTTTTCATTTATTGATACAAATTCAAAGTCAATTTTATGATAAGTATATTTCTCCTCTTGACTAAGTATTGTACTTATGCTGTTCTTTTAAAATGTAATGCATAATTAAATACAGACAATAGATAGTTACTTATAATAGTCAGAATTTATATTTAGGTAAGTTAGGTTTTCTAGATATACAGAAATATATTTGAGATAGATAAACAGTCTTCAAACCTCTCAAAGACCTTCAGAAAAATGGCATTTAAAATGGTTTAGGGTTTTTCTTGACAATGAGAAATGTCTGCTCTGGGCAGCACCAATTATGTCTGAGAGGAAGATGGGCATCGAAGAAACTTGTTATGGAGCTTGCTTTCAACATGGCAAAATTAGCCATTTGGGCAAGAAACTGCTCTTGCCTAGACTGACTGTTGCTGTATAAACTGGACATGCAGGACCCACAGGAAAGTGACTTCTAAACTCAGTCTTACAGGGTTCCTGCTTCATGAAAGAGTCCAAGAGACTTTCTACAGGACAAAGAAAAATGACTGACAGACTGCCAGCGCAGATGGACAGTTTGAAATTTCCTGCTTTGCTGAGAAGTGTTCCAGACACATTGTGGCCTATGGGCTGAAGATGGATGCCCCAACATTACAGAGGAACTTTGGGTGACTGTCCAGGTAGCAAGATATCTTTGTCAATCCTAGTGTTTATATATTATCCTTCTGTGGTCTTTGATGGAGTTGAAGACAGATAGTTATAATTATAGTTTTCCTTAGTTATGATAAGAGATAAGCTACATTTAGAACTTTAGACTCACAAGGATGGGATGGATGATATTTTATTTAGATCTTGCTAAATGTTAATAGACAAAATGTTGTAACTGTGTTCTTACTTGATAACTGTCCTGTCATATACAATTTGACTATGTTAAAGTTAAGACCTTTCTTTTTGTTTAAACAGAAAAGAGAAGATGTTGGGGAAGTCCTGTGTATATGTTAATAAATTACTGCTGGCCAATAGGAATCTAGATAGGTGGGGCTAGGAGTCCAGGAGGATTCTGGGAGGAGAAACACAAGAGAGTCAACATGTAACCGCCATGGGGGTAGGAGCCCAGAACTATTCTCCGGTAAGAGACATACTTAGATTAACAATTATGGGGTAATTACTTAAAGCAGAGCTAGCCAGTTAGAAACAAGCAAGGCCAACAGCTTCATAATTAATACAGCGTCTTGTGTGTTTATTTGGGGACTACCTCGCGGCAGAGCCCAGGCGACTGGCGGGTGATAAACCAAAGCAGCTAGCAAAGAAAAAGTTTCTCTTAACACAAGTGGACCAATGAAATCATAGACCCTGACATCAGTCTACATACCTATGAACAAAGAAGCTAAAATTAAACAATGGAAAAAAGAAAGCATCTTCAATGAATAGTGATGTCAACATGTAGAAGAAGAATGCAAATAGATCCATATCTATCACCATGCACAAAACTTAAGTCCAAATGGATCAATGACCTCAACTTAAAACAAACACACTGAACCTCATAAAAGAGAAAGTGGTAAGAAGGCTTGAATACATTGGCAAAAGAGAACAATTCTTAAATATAACACCAGTAGCACAGACACTGAGAGCAACAATAAATAAACAGAACCTCCTGAGACTGAGAAGCTTCTTTAAGGCAAAGACACAGTCAGTAAGACAAAACAGCAGCCCACAGCGTAGGTCTTTACCTACCCCACATCTGACACAAGACTGATCTCCAAAATATACAAAGGACTCAAGAAACTAGACATCAAATAACCATATAATCCAATTAAAAAAAAAAGAGTACTGATCTAAAAAGAGAACTCTCCACAGAAGAATCTCAAATGGCTGAAAGACGCTTAAGGAAATGCTCAGCATCCTTAGCAAGAGAAATGCAAATCAAAACAACTCTGAGACACCATCTTATACCTGTCAGAATGGCCAAGAACAAAAACTCTGATGACAGTTTATGCTAGAAAGGATGTGGAGCAAGGGGAACACTCCTCCATTGATGGTGGAAGTGCAAACTTGTACAGCAGCTTTGGAAATCAGTATGGTGGTTTCTCATAAAATTGGGAGTCAATCTACCTCAAGACACACCAATACCACTTTTGGGCATATATACAAAGGATGAACACTCATTCCAGAAGGACATTTGCTCAACTATGTTCATAGCAGCATTATTTGTAATAGCCAGAACCTGGAATCAACCTAGATGCCCCTCAACCTTAGAGTGGATAAGAAAAATGTGGTACATTTCCACAATGGAGTACTACTCAGTGGAAAAACCAAAAACAAAAACAAAAAAACAAAAAAAAACAAAAAAAAAAAAACAGTGATATCTTGAAATTTTCAGGCAAATGGACAGAACTGGAAAAAGTCATCCTGATTGAGATAATACAGACTCAGAAAGACAAAGACAAATATGTCTTCACTCACAAGTGGATATCAGACATAAAGCAAAGGACAACCACCCTACAGGCCACAACCCCAGAAAACCTAGGCAAAGAGGATCCTAAGAGAGACATAGATGGGGAAAAAAGAAAGGTCTACTGAGTAAATTGGGAGCATGTGGGGACAGGGAGCAGGGTGGAAGGGGAGAGGGAAGGAGAGGAGGAGAGTGGAGAAAAAAATGTATAGCTCAATAGAAAAATGGCCAAAAAAAAAAGGTCTAAACTAGTCATTCTCAACCAAGACCATTTTGTCAGGAAACATTTGAAAATGTCTCTGGATATTTTTCAGTGTCACAAACAGGGGATATGGAAAAGACAATAATTGTCACTGGCATCTGGTAAACCCAAGACAGCAAACATACAGAACACACTATAGCACTCCAGGCCAAACTACCAATAGTACCAAGGTTGAGAATATCTTGCCCTAAACTTTTCCGAAACACAAGAGCATATTGTTTTTTATGAATATATACTTTACAAAGTCTTCATTTCTATCCAACCCAGTCATGTCTTAATTAAGGTTTCTATTAATGTGACTATGCGTCATAACCAAAAATAACTTGGGAATGAAAGGATTTACTTCAGTTCACAACATATCAGACATCACTGTCAGGGAGGTAGGAACTCAGAGCAGGAATCTGGAGAAAGGAATTGGAGCAGATGTAGCAGAAGTTACTTACTGACTTGCTCCTCATCACTAGCTCATAATGCTTTCTTACCACACACAGGACTACCAGGCCAGCAGCAACAACATCCTATGAACCAACTCTCTCTCCCCCAATAGCCCCAATCTCCTGCAGCTAACTCCACCTCACCTTGTCCCCCGAACATACCAGAAAGCACTAATGGACCATCTAAGAAGTGAACACACTCTCCCTACTGCCTAATGAAATCCTACAACTGCTTTATTACTACTATCTAGCTGGCAATTTTAACACAACTCTATTATTATTTATTATCATTATGTGTTGGTGTTTTGTGTATGCTTGTGAGAGACCCAGGCCTCAGAGGAACTGCAGCCATAGCACAATGACCTGAGCAGGATGCAGTCCCCTGGCCTTAGCCCTAGTTTACAGAAAAAAACCATAAACACCTTCCCCCCACAGGGAGAGGCCAATCAGAAAAGGACAAGCAGCTCCAGATAGTCTTAGGCTGAAGCTAAAATATTACAACTCCCCCAGGGGTTGAGTTAATCTCAAATCTATAACTATATAGTTTTGGAATCCCCCAAGACCTGCCCTCCAACAACAATAAAAGCCCTCACCCTATGCTGATTGATGGAGGTCTCTCCTGCTCTGCGGCTGTTTCAGATGGATGGAGAGGCCCGAGCTAACTCGTAATACAAACTCTGATTTTGCATCGCATTTGGTATCTTGGTGGTCTTCTGAGGGTCAGGGCACTTTGAGCACAACATTTGTGCACGTATCAGATCTAGAACTAGTTACTGACGGTTGAGAGCCAACCTCCAGGCCAGTGCTGGGATTCTAACCACCGGTCCTCTAGAAGAGCAGCCAGTGCTCTTAAACTGAACCAACTCTCTCCAATCCCTGGTTTGTAATTATTCATTTGTATATCTCCCAGGCCAGAAAACGAGAAACAAAAGACAGAAACCCATTTATTCTCTAGCTTATCAATTCCAAGCCTGACACACATTAAACATTAATAGCTAATTTAATGAACAATATATGTCAGTTCTAGAACAATATTGTCTTTAAAATTTGTAGAAATGAAAAACTGACTGGTGTCCCTGCTTTTTGATTTTGTCCGAATTTGGGGAAGTCTTTCGCCAGTGTTCTAAGGCAAACACTGTATAAATTATCACACTGGAGATGAAACAACTGTAGATGCGGAGATGAAACTAAAACTTTCTGTTTATGTGCAGTGTGCTGTGACTTAGTACTTAACTTCACATTCACCTGGCTCTGTCCTTGACATAAAGAAAAGATTCCTAAGCAAAATAACAGCCCAACACGAACCACGGAAGGGAGGAGGCCCTCGTGGGGTGAAAGTGCAAGACTAAACGCCTCGAACGTTCCAGGCCACGCCAACGTTGAAGCGCCCTACTGTGTGATGGCAGGTATTATCTGGATGTCCCCAACCGACGCGACAACAGTCGCCAGTATGAAGAAACTAAGAGATGCTTCCGACGGGAAGATGAAGTGTGAAAACAGCAAGAGTGGAGGGCAGACAGCTCAGTAGGGACTGTAGCGTGTACTTCACCCCACACTGCCCGGAGTCGCATCTGGTCTGTGAGCCGGCGCCCACACCCCCTGCCCCGCCCCCGCCCCCGAGACTCCCCCGCGGCTGGACTCCGCCGCCGGGCCACGACTAACCTCGCCGGCCGCTTCGCCCAAGGCCGATTCCCAGACCCGCTCACCCGGCGTCAGGTCTCAGCCCTCCACACTGAGTCCAAACGCTAAGATGCCAAGGCCCAGCTCTTCGAAACACCACCCAAGCTGGGGCTTCCGTAGGCCACCGACCCCACGACCCCGGATGTTGATGTGCTGCGTGCCCCGGAAACGGCGGCCCGAGGCCCTTGTGGGGGCGGAGGCGGCGTTGCCCGGCTCTCCGGAAGGAGACGTGGCGGCGGTTGAGTCTCCTGCGCTGAGGAAGCCTTGTGGTCCTGCCGCCGCCTCCTCCTCCTCCTCCTCCACCTGTTCTCCAAGGGTAGAGGAGGCTGTGACGGCGGCTGGAGGACGCGGCGACGGAGGATGGAGGAAGGAGGCGGCGGCGCGCGGAGCCTGGTCCCCGGAGGGCCGCTGTTGCTGGTCCTGTGCGGCCTCCTGGAGGCGTCCGGCGGCGGCCGAGCGCTGCCCCAGCTCAGCGACGACATCCCCTTCCGCGTCAACTGGCCCGGCACCGAGTTCTCTCTGGTCAGTGCCCTTCGCTAGCCGCAGCCACGAAGCAGTCAAGCCGAGCCCTCAGTCTCCCTAGCTTTCCCTTGCAGAATCTTTTCCCCCAAGCATTTATCTTTTCCAAGCCGAAGTGTCTTCATTCCTTCATTGATTGATTCGCTCTGCACCCTATGTGGATGTGCATCCATACTTTTAAAAAAAAAAAAAAGAACTAGGAAATCTAGCGGTTTCTTCCTCTCCCTCCTTTAAATTTCTTTTTAAATTTCTTTGCGCGAGACCCGGCTTCCCAACAGTCCCACTCTGTCGAGGAAGGCTTAGAATGATGACCACACCACCCTACTCACACTGCCGTCCAACAGACACGAGCCCATCACTGTTCACTCTTCCTCTCCAACATATACTCAGAAACAGTTTATACAGACGTTTGACTTCTGGGAATCTTTTCCCTTCGAAATCATTTGAGAGGGCTGTTTGGCTTGGAAGACGTTAGTAAACTTGTATGTGAAATACGACTAGCCATGCAGAATATATTAGACATTTTAATACATTATGAATACTATTTCAAACTCTATAAAGGGAAGTTTTTTAAAGGATTTTATGATCTTTAATTAATTGTGTGTATTGTGCAAAAGGGTTTCCGTACACTTGAGTACAAGTGACCTGGGCCAGTGATTGTGAGTGCTGGGAACTAAATTCAGTCTTCTATGAAAATGCATGTTCTTAATTATTGCACCATCTCTCCAGCCATAGAATGTGATATTTTACAATGACGTCTTATACAGTACGGGATTATATACATAATAATGTGTATAATCTCAGGATAATGAGAAAATTCTGTTTGGGAGCATGTAGTGTTGAAAACCCTATCCATGTAGAGCTGCTGCAGACCAATTTGTTTTAAAAGGTGATTTTCAGGGATGAAAAGATAGCTTAACAGTTAAAAACACTGCTCTTTCAGAGGATCTAAGTTTGATTCCCAGCACTCACAACAGCATCCACTGCACTGCACTCCTGTGTATAACTACACACATACACATAGTTAAAGAGGGAAATAAAATCTATTTTTTAAGTGTGCTGTTAACAATACCATCTTCTCATTTCAGATTGACATCCTAGGAAAAGCAAAGGTTTTTTGTTTTGTTTCTTAATTACATTCCAATTACATGCCATCATACAAGTTAAGCTAATTTTATTGTATTACTCCCTTATTAGTCCATTGAGACGTTAATAGTATTACTATGATGCCAAGACAATATGTACCAAGCTAGGCCCAAAAGTATAGTTCAATGACAAAGCACTAGCCTGCGGCACAGGCCTTCAGCTGGACAGCACCACAGAATTACTAAGTGGTGGTGTTACCATCACCACATTGCTTTTCATTTGCCTTGGGATTTGCTTATGCTGTATTTTGTGCTCCATTTGTTTCCTCTACCTTTCTATTACTTTCGTACCATATTCTTGTATTCAAGTAAATATTTTTCTGGAAAGCCAGGACTATGTTTGTGTTAATGCCATGATCTATTGATATTTTTATTGGTCTCCGGTGTTAAAACACTTGTACAAAATATTACAGGCCTGAGGAGATAGCAACAAAATCTAAGGTGGACATACTTGAAGACTTGGGAGTTTTAGGCTATTTGTTTGTTTTTCTTCTTTTTGTTTAGTCTGAATTATTTTGAGAAAAATCTAGATGCTTTCTCTGAATTGGGACAAGAGCCATATCCTTGTACAAAAGTAAGCTTTCAATAGTTGATCTTTTGAAATTCTTAAATACTTCTGTAATCTTAATACTTCCCTTCCTTGCTTTATTTAATTGAAATAACTGCCCTCTTCACATGGTTTCTGGTTATTTTTATGGGTCAGTTGGTTGGACATTTGTAAATAACTCAGCAGCTGTGTGAACTAGGATAAAGTCTTTTGTCTAACATCCAAAACTGGCAGACAGTGAGTTAAAATATCTCAGTTGTTTTTTCTTTTCTTAGGCTTATTGTAGTTGCTTTTCTTGCTTTTGTTGATACAAGGTCTCATTGGATTCTAGCTTGAGGATATCCTCTGCCTCAGCCTCCAAAGACCTGGGATTATGGATTATAGGCATATAGTACCATAACTGACTCTTCTAGTAATTTATACTCCCAAAATATATGTAGATGAAAATAATTAAAATTCTACCTTGTAAAAATGATTTACAGTGATTCTCATAAGTGACTCACTGGTCCAATATCCACTGTATTGAAAACTAGCCAGGAGATGATGGCTCACTCCTTTATCCCAGCACTCTGGAGGCAGAGGCAGGTGGATCTCTAAGTTTGAGGCCAGCTTGGTCTACATAGCAAGTTCTGAGCCAGCCAGGATTGTACAGTGAGGCCCTGCCTTAATAATAATAATAACAATAATAATAATAATAAATAGTCCTTTAATAAACTAAAAATCATCTTCCAGGGAAGTGGCACATTCCTCTAATCCTGGTACTTGATAGCTAGAGACAAAAGGAATGCTAGGATCTAAGAGAAGCCCCCAAGAAAAGCCCAAAAGCCACACATATAAAAAGGATGTGGGAACCTGCTGAAGCAGCAGAAGGTCAAGAGGACACCTGTTCGCTGGTTGCCCCTGAGTTGTGGTTCTACCCAAGAACTGTTGGCTCAGCTCCAGCCACCTCCAGTAACTGAAACTAAAGCCTGGTCCCCAACAGGGACTGTTAGAAACCTGCCATGGTTCAGATCTGGCTCCTGACCCTCTCAAGGATCAGAAGTTCAAGGCTAACTTAGTTCATTGTCTGTATAGCATGTTTGAAGCTAGCTTCGGTTACATGAGAATCTGTTCCAGAAAGTAAACAGAATTTGGCCCTACAACTCTTAGTCTTCAAATATTTTGCTTACCTTACCTTTAAAACAAGTATCCTTGGCCATTAAATATATACAGTAATCTATATACGTTACAACAGTAATAAGCACACACCTATGGAGCTTGGCTTCTCTGAACTCTGCTCCATCTAGCTAGATTAACCATTAGACAAATTAAGCTCTGACCCCAGAGTCCTTTTCTGTAAAAATGAGCATAATGCTTCATTTGAGGATGGTGAATTAATAAATGCAAAGGAATTAAAAGAAGATATTTGGTTCTGCATGCTACATGTTCATATCTGCAAGTTCTGTGTCTGTGGATTCACTCAGCCTAGCATCAGAATTCTCAGGAGAAGAGATGGTAGCATACCCCTATAATCCCAATACTCAGGAGGCTGAGGCAGGAGGATTGCTATGAGTTCAAAGCCACTCTGACCTCTATAGTGAGTACAGGCAAGACCAGCCTGAGGTATCTAGCAAACCTTGTCAACAATTTAGGAGACAAAGACAGGAAGATCTCTGAGAATTCAGGGTTAGCCAGGTCTATATAGCAAGTTCCAGTGCAACTGAGGCTACACAAAGAAACCCTGCATTTAAAAAAAAATTGTCAATACCAACAAAAATCAGAAGGAAACAATTAAAAGGGAAGACATACAGACCTTTTCTTCTGGTTCCCTAAAAAGAAAAACAGTATACCATGTAATCAAACATTTACATTCCGTTAGTGTTGGAAATTATCTAGATATGCTTTAAAATATAAGGGAGGTTATTACATAGGTTATATTCAAATTTGTGCCGTTTCTATAAGGGACCTGGGTATTTGCAGATTTGGTTGTACAAAGCAGGAAGCCTAGAACTTATTCTCCAGGCTTCTAAGAGCTAATACTGCCTATTTTCTTTCATTGTCTTGGAAAACATTACCCTAATTGTCATTTATATTTAAGATTATGTTGGTTCCAAGTAGTAGTGGTTTACACATAGTGAAGTTTTATTGAAAAGAGAAAAGAACAGGCACACTTAACAGAAAGCTGATCTTTCCTGGCTAATAAGAGCAAAGCAGGCAGTGGCTTTACAGCATTACAGGAAGAAAAAAGTGAAGAGACTTGAATCATCATAAATACATACCAGAAAGCATAGGTTGCTCTTCAGTAAAATGCTATCAGTTACGTTAATTGAAGTGTTTGCTTAAAATATGTTGGTTCATAGGAAAACTGTGCATTTGTTTTTGTAGTATAGAAAGCTTGAAATTTAGTAAGAAAACTGACACATAACAGGAGTGACACATAACAGCTATTATGCTAGCTGACTACATGTTTTTTATCACTTTTTATTTTAATTTTAAATAGCTTGTTTTACATGTCAATCCCAGTTCCCTCTCCCTCCCCTCCTCCCGCACTCCCCATCACCCCCAGCCTCCCACCCTATTGCCAATTCCTTCCACATACCTTCCACATAGGGGATATCTAGAGTCTGTCATTTCCCTCAGGGTAGGGTCCAGGCACTCCCCTAAGAGTCCAGGCTGAGAGAGCATCCCTCTTTGTGCTATGGGCACACGATGACTGTATTCCAGGGATAGACACTGATCCACTGCTCAGGGCCCCATAGGTTGCCCAGGCCTTCTCACTGACACTCACATTCAGGGGGTTCAGATCAGCTGTCTCTGCTGGTTTTGCCAGCCCATTCTTTGCCAATTTGCTCACCACTCCTCTTTCTCTGTCGCTGGGTTCCTTGGGTTCTGTTCAGTATTTAACTGTGGGTGTTTGCCTCTGCTTCCATCAGTCACTGGATGAAGGCTCCCGGATGGTTATAGACATCAAGTTCATTATCAGGAATGGGCATTCGAGGTGGTCCCTCCACTATTGCTTAGCTTGCCAATTGGTGTTATCCCTTTAGATCACTAGAGGTCACTCTGGTGCCTGATCTGTCTTCTAACCTATGATTCCCTCTTCCCCCTATTCTACCCCCACCCACTCAGACTTCCTGTTCAGAAGAGAGGGGGGGAGAAGAGGAAGAGAGAGTAGGTCATGGGGGAACAGGAAGACTACATGTTTTTATACCAAATTCTGAGCACATTTGTGAAGTCCTAAGGATTGTCAGATACAGATGGTGATTGCTGACAGAAGTTATAGGTATCCCGTGACTGTTTTTGTGACTATTCTTGGTCTCTTGAACTAGGAGTATAGCTCAGTGGCATATACTTGGCACACATGTAAATCTAGATTCCATTTTCAGCACCACCAAAAAAGTAAACCAGGGTAGCCTTGAACTCAAAACAATCCACCTGCCTCTGCCTCTGGAGTGCTAGGCTTAAAGGTGTATATCACAATACAGCTTCACAATGCTTCTAAATTAGAATTTTAAACTTCAACCAATTACATTACTAGTTTTCCTTTATATCCCAAACTGTTACATTGGACAACAGGATCCAGTTTATCTCCACTTTATCATTTAAAAATGTGTATACTATTTTGCCTACCTCTGAAAATATGCTTTAAAATCTTCAGTTGAAGGCAGGCAGTGGTGGTGTACACTTTTAATCCCAGCTCTCAGGAGGCAGAGGCAAGCAGATCTCTTATGAGTTCAAGACCAGACTGTTCTACAGAGCTAGTTCAGGACAGCTAGGGTGGTTACACAGAGAAACCCTGTCTAAAAACAAAAAAAAAATCTTTTGTTGAAATAATAAATTCATTTGAGGAACCTTTGTTCTAACTAGTAATGAACTTATTCAGTATAATGTACTTTAACTGAAAGAAATGTATATTTTTTATTCTGTTTCTAGCCTACATCTGGAGTTTTGTATAAAGAAGATAATTATGTTATCATGACAACTGCACATAAAGAAAAATACAAATGTATACTTCCTCTGGTGACAAGTGGAGATGAGGTACGTCTTTTTTACATACATTGCTGATCCCTCTCAACAAATATATGTGTTTTATAGCCCTATAGTCATATACCTTGTAGCATAAAAATATTATATTAATCCTTTGTTACTGTTTTCTTTGATTTGGGGTTCATTTTTGAAAAGTTAGCAACCAGCTTGATGTGGTGGTTCAGACCTGTAATCTCAACACTCAGGAGGCTGAGGCAGAAGGATTGTCATGAGTTTAAGGTCAGCCTAGCCTACATTGTGAGACCTTGTCTAAAATTAAAAAAAAAAAAAAAAAAAAAACCAGGGCTGGGTGGGGAGAAATAAATTATTACTGTTTTGAATAAAAAACTAACTCTGTGCTTGTTTTCCTTTGTACAAATGATGGTTTTCAAACACACTATAATATTTCAATGTAAACTGTTTTCATAAAGAATTTCTTATAATAAGTCTCTAGATACCTTATGCTTTCTCACTACCTTAGCTCATGCCCTTTTCTTTCTCCTAAAATGCCCTAACTGCCTCTTATCCATCCTTCAAGGCAATGACTTCTTTCAAGATGAAACAGGAGAGGCAGCATGGTAAAATGGAAAGGACACCAGCCTAGGAGCCAGGAGGCTGAGGTATAGGCTACAGTTAGCTGTGGATCCCTAAACAAATTGAAACTCAATTCCTCCACTCAATGAATTTATTAAGCCAGTTTACATTTTCATGGTCTGTAAAGTGGAATATTAAACTCAGTGCTTTTCTTAAGTTGTGTTCATATTTGAAATCTGTCCAAGGAAGCTGCTCCATGCTACTTTAAACCCCTTTAAAACAAAATATACCCACATAAATCACACAGGTGGTTCAAGTCTGAAGTATTAAAATATGTAGGAAACTGAAAAACACCTTTCCACAATAGAACTATTCTAAAACTTTCATAGCTAGAATTTTGGGGGGATATAGGCAATTAAAAATTCTAAAATAAGTTTACAAGGATTTCTTAGAAAACTTATACTTAAAAACATTTTTTTTAAAAATGAATGCTATGGAAGATCATTCTATGGATTCATATTTTATACTTCAGTTCATTTGAAAGAAGTAACATACCATAAGATCTTATTAAAGATGTTGACTTTTTTTCTCTTTTATTTTCCAAGCATTTGTGATTTAACCAATGAATTAATAACCAAACAGCAGAGTTGGATGAAGTTCTAGAAAAACTATATGTTAAACTCCAGTTTTTTTCTTAGGAAGAAGAAAAGGATTACAAAGGCCCAAATCCAAGAGAGCTTTTGGAACCACTATTTAAACAGAGCAGTTGTTCCTACAGAGTATGTATTTTATGTACATTTGAAAGTAAGTCTCTAGCAGCCAGTAGATCCTTAAAATGGCTTTTTATCTTGCTTTACTATGGTGTGTCACATTTTAAGTTAGGTGAAAATCATATTGCTTGCTAGTATATTGTTCATTTAAATTATTATACATGCATTAGATAGTACACTGATAACAAACTGTCAGTTACTAAAATACTTGGAATGTTTTTTAGTTCAAAGAAAAGCTTTCTTACATGATAGAATTATAAAATGCTAACTGTTATTTTTAATCTATGTAGAAAAGTAACCAGATAATTATTACACACCCAAATACATTATAGCTCTATTTCTGTCACATAATCTTTCTACGGAGCCAATTAGTAGAAACCAAATACACTTCAGAAGTTTTGCCATTTTGTGTGGCATGATTATAAGTGCCACTTCATAAAAGTTTATTCCAGATTTGAGGGAGAATCTGCTCAGCTGCTAAAAACTTCAAATAAAATTCAATTAATTATATGTTTTTATGTATTTAAAAGTGTATGTCTTTCTTAGATTGAATCTTATTGGACTTACGAAGTATGTCATGGAAAACATATTCGACAGTACCATGAAGAAAAAGAAACTGGCCAAGTATGTTTTCCTTGAAATATAAAGCATAAAATAAGAAATTTCATAATGACATTGATAGTTTGTAAGTTGTAGCTAAAGAAATATGTTTGTAAAATACTTACTGTATTTTTTTTTAATGTAGAAAGTAAATATTCATGAATACTATCTTGGGAATATGTTGGCTAAGAATCTTCTGTCTGAAAAAGGTTAGTCTCTAAAAGGGATGATAGTACTACTGTGTTTTGGTTTTACATTTAAGTCCAGGCATGGTGGTACAGAACTGTAAGCCTAGCGTTTTGGGGTAGAAGCAGTAGGATCAGGGATTCACGGCCATTCTCTTTACAGGAGGCTGACTCCAAGGGGGGGTTGGGGGAGTTCCTGGATATTATCTTTTATATACATTACTGTTATTACAGTTTACTCCTTTAATGGATGTGCATGTTCCACTGCTTGCATGAAGGAGCCATGTCATTCCCATGAATCAAACCTCGGTCTTTTATAGACAGCCACTCTGGGAACACTAACTTTAAAACTAGAAGGACAAGCCTGGGGAAAGGGTGTTTAAACACCCAGTACATATGAGACCCTGACTCCACACCCAGAAACTCCTACCCAAAGAGCAGTAAGACAGAACCTTGTTTGGTCTTCCCTAGAAAGAAGTTTAAGGTTCCAAAGCTGATTAAAAAGAGTCATTTGTATCATACAGATGTGATGTTCATGCTGTGTGTTCACATTTTTATTGCATTGCTTCCACAGAACAAGAAGCAGAAGAAAAAGAAAAGTTCAGTGAGGCAAGTGATGTATTAATTTTTCATACTTCATTGGTAGGTATGACTTTAGTGACAAAGCTAGATGTACTTTGTATAATGCCTCAAGGAAGTGGGTCAAATAAAATTATAATTTATGACAGCTCTTTTTTCTATGGAAAGTTCAATTGCCAACTGAGCTTGATGACACACGCCTTTAATTCCAGCATTCAGGAGGCAGAAGCAGATAAATCTTTGTGAGCCTGCTCTACATACCTAGTTCTGAGCCATCCTGGGCTGTATATACAAGAGAGAACCTGTCTCAAAAAACTAGATAATTATGTTGTAATCCTTCTACTTACTTTTTAAATAATATCTAAATAAACTGTTAGTTGAGCCTGCTGACACAAAACTGTCATCCCAGCTTCTTAGGAAACTGAGGCAGGAGAGTCACATGTTCAGTGACTTCCTGGCCTAACTACCTTCCACGTGGTAGAAGGAGAGAACCAGCTCCTGAAAGTTGTTCTCTGGCTTCCACACACACTTAGAGCTACATGTGCACATACATGCAATAAATAAAAGTAATGTCAAAAAAAGTTAACAAGGAAGAGTGAAGCTACAGCCCAGTAGTAGGACACTGTCTAGCATGTATAGCATCCTAAGCTCAATCTCCACTACTAAAAGAATAATGATATCAATATGTGTCTCTGAAATGCTATGATACCACTCTATCAATTCAGTGCATAATGGTGGTGCTTTCTATGTAGCATTAGAAATAGCGGTAGTAAGAACATTTTTATTGATTATTCCCTATCTTCCATGAGTATGTTAGAGAAACTGCATATGTAAGTAGCAAGCTACCTGCCTATATGGGCTTTAAAAATAGAGGCTAAGAGTCTTTTATCTGTGAAGTGCAAAGCTGCCATGCATATGCATATGCATATTGTAGGTACTTCATATATGGTGGCTCAGAGTAGTATTTGTATAAAAGGAGCAATTCATGTAGTTCAAAGTATTGCTGCTGCTTTCTTTCTTTGCTTCCTTTTCACTGTTTGTCTTACTTGGAAATCAGCCTTAAAACTTGTAGAATCTAAATGATAAAGAACACTTGCTTCAGAGTTTAGTAAAGAAAGAGCAAAGCGGCCAAGAATAGTAAATTTTTTTGTTAGTTTGTTTCTTCAGAACTATTGACGATTACTCATATTAATCATGTCAGTTCAACGTACATCGACTTTACATTTTAGCATCAAATAGTTTGTTCTGTATTATACTATCCCCAAATACATATTTACTGAAGAATTTAAGAATCAGAACATCAGTGTTTACTTAAAAGAAAGTATAGACATTTTCATCTTCTGTTTACAAATAAAATGTAGTTTCCTTTTAGAATAAATACTTCCCTCATCCTCAGACTCACCTCAAATTTCTAATAAAAGGTCTACCTACAATTTTTTTTAAGATCCCCACTAAAAATATTGAAGGTCAGATGACACCCTACTATCCTGTGGGAATGGGAAATGGTACACCTTGTAGTCTGAAACAGAACCGACCCAGATCAAGCACTGTGATGTACATATGCCATCCTGAATCTAAGCATGAAATCCTTTCAGTAGCTGAAGTTACAACTTGTGAATATGAAGTTGTCATTCTGACACCACTTTTGTGCAGTCATCCTAAATACAGGTAAGATGCCCACTCATTATTCTCACATGCAGCGCACATGCCCTTTAAAGCTTTCGCTTAGCCTTAATGCCTTTTTTCCTACTGAATAGGTTCAGAGCCTCTCCTGTGAATGATATATTCTGCCAATCACTGCCAGGATCTCCATTTAAACCGCTCACACTAAGACAGTTGGAACAGCAGGAAGAGATACTGAGGGTGCCATTTAGGAGAAATAAAGAGGTATGAGAGTTAACTAATTAATAGTTTCTCGGGGCTTCCTTTTCCCTGTTTCAGAACCTGTATCAGTGCTAATTTCTATAGAATAGTAATGGCAATTTATTTTATTGACTTCTAATGTTTAATTCTAATTATTTGAATAATTTGAATTTTTCTTAAACTTTTCAGAAAATTTAACATTCTCGTTCAATTATACAATTTGTAAAAGTTTTATTTAAATTTTTTACTTTTATGCATATATGTAAATGCCTACATGTATATACATGCACAGTGTGTGTGTTTGATACCTATGGAGGCCAGAAGAGAGTCTGATCCCCTGGGAACTGGAGTTATAATTATAAGCTGCCATGTGAGGTCTGGAAACCAAGCCCAGGTCCTGTGCAAGAGTAGCAAGTACTTTTAATTGCTGATCTGTTTCTCCAGTCTCACATATAATACTATATAATACTTTCTAAGTTTAGCATCCTATTAAATTTCTCAGTAGCTGTTCCAACTAAGTTAAAAAAAAAAAAAAGCCAGCCCTAGCTCCAGCTCTTAGCATTTTACACTTGAGTCTCTTGCTCTCCTTTAATCACCTCTGTATACTTCCTCCTTCTCTTGATACACTGTCTTCCCTCTTCATCTGCTTGTTGGGCATGGCCACATACTTGTTTTTTTCACTCATCATTTTTCAGTTTTTTAAGAACCCTTATCTTCCCCTCTGCCTTTTTATTTTATTATTTTTCCAATTTTAAGACAAGGTGTCTTTGTAGCCCTGGCTGTCATGGAACTCACTATGTCAACCATGCTGGCCTCGAACTCAGAAATACACCTGCCTGCCTCCCAAGTGCAGGAATCAAAGTCATGTTCCACTACACCTGGTTTCCCCCATTGCTTTTAAAGTGCTGTGCTCAAAACAAGCACAGTTCCTGCACAGTCTTTCTCCTTACAGTGTACAAAACAAACTATTTTCTATCCAAATGACCCCCACCCCCCCAAAAAAACACCTACGTGTTTTATTTGTTTTTTGAGGCATGGTCTCACTTTGTAGCCTTGGGTAGCCTGAGCTGCATGCATGTGCATACCTTTGTTTAATACCTACAAGACAGCATCCAGACCTCTCAGCTATAGTCTTCCAAAATAAAAAATGCTTGCTGATCTCTTTAGTTTTAAATATTACAGCCCTACTTATTTCCCCCGATGAGTCTTTTCTTCAAATCCCATGCACATATGTACACAAACAGAAAGCATATACCTAAGTCACCAATATGTGTATGTATTTGCATGGCTTGGTCAAGAGTATTCTGTTGGTAAAGTCCCCACATTTCTATTCCTCGGCAAAGTCAGTTCCATCTACCCCTTTCTTTATGAGTCTTTAGTTCTGGGTGCCCTTATTACTATGGATTTACTCTAGTAAATTATAGGGTCACCCAGTGCAACAGCCAGATTCAGTTACCTTTGAGTAATTGTAGTTGATGATTCTGTTCATTCCCAACCAACTCCTTTTCACTCTGCTTGTTACCTTATCTTTACTCTTAATGACTTCAACAAAATGTAAGTATGCAAAGCTTAGTAAGTATCAGAGTGAAGACAAGAAGCAGGTGAAGAATGGAAATTTTCCCTATGTGTGCCAGAGGATTATCATGCTTGTTACTTGAGGGTGAAACTAACATTTGTCTGGACTTTTCTCTATTGTCACAGAGTCTACTTTCTTAAAACCTTAAAATTAAGTGGAAAAAAACTCTTATTTTCCAAAATTTCTGTTACATTTTAAAGTAATAGCAAGCTGTAATTGGAAAACATGTCATGGAAGCTCTTAAACACATCTGGTTAATTTTAGGAAGATTTGCCATCTGCAAAAGAAGAGAGATTTCCAGCCATCCACAAACCTATTGCTGTTGGCGCTCAGCCATTGCTCACCGTTGGAACAACCCATATATCCAAGCTGACAGATGATCAGCTCATAAAGGAGTTCCTTAGTGGCTCTTACTGCTTTCACGGGGTAAGAAAGTGAAACTGTATTTTAAATATTTATCTTACAACCTTATGTGTGGTAGTTCTAACCCATAGTCATTGGAAGAACTAAACAAAAGTGCCTACAGAGAAATGGCAGGATCCTGCCATCTCCAATGGACATTTTTTGTATTATCCCATTCTTCCACATTTCTAAAGTCTAATCCACGCTCATTATATTCTCTTTATCCACAAAAGCTTGACTTTTCACTATGGCAATCATATGATTTAGGTTGACTATTAAAATGGACATTACTGATTTATTTCACACATTTTGGTTATGCAACAGTCACAATTCAAACTTGAATTAAGCTTAAAAGGTAATGTTTTGCTTCTGACTATTAAAACCAGTGTAAGTACACTCAAAGGTGAAAATCTTGTTTTGTGAGTTTTTTGTATTTATCTCTTTTTTTCCTCTTGGTGGGTTTTTGTTGCTGTTTGTTTTTTCTTTCTTCCTTTCTATTTTTTTTTTTTTTTTTTTAAATTTGGAGACAAGGACTCACATACAGCCCTGGGTAGCCTGAAACTCATTGTGTATACCAGGCTGTCATGTTTTGCTTTTGTTATACTATTGATTTTAAAAGTTAACAAAAATTACTTATATTTCCCACTATCATATGGCATTGTTATATCATTCTCCCTTCTCTGTGAATAACTATTTGTTTCTTTCTTTTAGGGTGTTGGTTGGTGGAAATATGAATTCTGCTATGGCAAACATGTATACCAATATCATGAGGTATAGAATAGCATTTACATCATTCTACTACTGGATAGATCCAGATTGTTTATTTGTCTTGCAGTGCTCAAACTCAGGGCCTCATGGACATGTCAAGTGCTCTTTACATTGAACCCCCAATATCATGAGGTATAGAATAGTATTTACATCATTCTACTACTGGATAGATCCAGGTTGTTTATTTGTCTTGCAGTGTTAAAACTCAGGGCCTCATGGATATGTCAAGTGCTCTTAACATTGAACCCCATCAGTTGCCCTGAGTTTTTAAAGTCTGTGGCAGACTGGTAATTTGGCTCAGCAGTTAAGAGTGTACTGCTCCTGTACAGATTCCAAGTTTGATTCCAGGCTTGTATATGAAGCAACTCAAAACTGCCTGTAACTCCAGCTCTAGGGAATCCAATGCCCAGACACCTCCACAACATACTCATATACACACAATTTTAAAAAATAAATCAATCTTTAAAATCTCCTATGGAAAAAAGAAGGGCATTAATATTACTTTGAATCATGAGATGATTTTAATACCCAAATACTAACCAGAGTTTTCTCACTTCTTAGAAACTGGAAAGCTTAATATTAACTGATTCAGTCATCTTGAAGGAACATTGCTCATTAACTACCAGTATTCTTAAATTATCATGAGCCTTTGTTCTAATTTGAGGAGTTATTCTTATAATTCATCCTTAAGAAATGAATAAGTAGTAAGATAGCACATTGATTACAGAATTAATCAAATTTGATAAATACACCAAGTTCCTCAGATAAAAGAAAATACCATTTCATCATTTGTTTTTTTGAGATAGAGTCTCTAACCCAGGCTACCTTCAAATTCCCTTTGTAGGTGGGGAAGACTGAAATTCTGATCCTTCTGACTCCACCTCCTGAGTGCTAAGATTACATGTGGGCCCTGCTATGCCCCCTTTTTTATAAGGAGTTAGGGATCAAACTCAGGCCTCTGAACATTCTAGGCAAGTACTCTATGAACTAAGCTCTATCCCCAGTCTACTCTGATAGTGTTTTAATTAGCATTTTAGATAGTTACAGAGATCCACCTGCCTCTGACTCCCAAGTACTGGGATTAAAAGCAGGAACCACCATCTCCAGGCTTTTTTCACAGTAGTGGTAGTGTTGTTACTTGGGTTGGGTTGGTTTAGGTTGAAGATTTTGATTTTTTTGATTGTTTGTTTGGGGGTGAGGTTGGTTGAGATTTATCGTTTGTTTTATTTGTTGTTGTTGTTGTTGTTGTTTTGAGACTGGATGTCTTGATTACTCATCCCCCTGAGTGGTAGGGTTGCAGGCATGTGCTACCATACCCAGTGGGCTTTTCCAAGGTCACTTAGCCTGTAACCTTCTGGTGGATCTATTAGGTACTTTGGAAGATAATGACAACAACTAGCAAGCATAGTGCAATATGCCAGATACTAAGTACATATTAGCTCATTGAATCCTCAAAACACCTTTCAAAAATCAGTCCTATTACTGAAAGTTTCAGAAACAGAAACAGGGTTTAGTTCCTTGCGTAAAAGTCCATATGCAATAAATGATAAGGCTGGAATTCAAACCCAGGCAGGCTTGTTCCCTATGCATCTTCTTAGACACTTTGGTGTTCAAATCCCTGTCTGGAAATTAACAAATCTAGTTGCTAGTGGGGGGCAGGAGGGATATAATAACTTCTTTTTCCATTAGGCAATAACATCTACTAGGGAAATGGCCCTGCGTGTTTTACTGGCCACTGAGTAGGTTTTCTGTACTATTAATTAGAAGTGTATTATTGCCTAGCATGGTTATCTGGCATAAAATATGAAAGGCCACAGGAATAAGAAGAGAAAGAGGAGAGGAGCTTACTTTTATAAACAATTCATAGTATTATTTAAATAATAAAGGCAGAATCAGGAAAGGGATTCTGCACAGTTTTTATACAGAAATGAATGTGCCATCAAATGAGTTATGGAGACTATAAAACTTCAAAGTTCTTACATAGCAGTAGAGAAGTAAAGTGAAGATGAACTTCAGAGTAAGACATCTTCGTCCACTTTATAACAGAATACTACGAACTAGTTAACTTTTTTTTAATTGTTTTCATTTTACATATCAACCACAGTCCTCCCTCCTCTCCTGTCTTCCCCTCAAGCCAACCCCCATCCACTCCTCTGAAAGGGCAATACCTCCCATAGGGAGTCAACAAAGCCTAGCACATTAAGTTGAGGCAGGACCAAGCTCCTCCCACCACATCAAAGTTGAACAAGACATTCCACATCCCACCTTAGGGAATAGGCTCCAAAAAGCCAGCTCATGCACCAGGGATAAATCATGGTCCCGCTGCCAGGGGCCCCTCAAACAGACCCAGCTGCACAACTGTCACCCACATGCAGAGAGCCTAGTTCAGTCCCATGCAGGCTCCATAGCTAAGGGTCTAAAAGGTCCCATGAGCTTGGTTCATCTGTCTCTGTAGATTTCCTGTCATGATCTTGACCCCCTCTTGTTCGTATAATCCTTCCTCCTCTTCAACTGGTCTCCCGGAGCTCAGCCCAGTGCTTGCCATGTATCTGCTTCCATCAGTAACTGGATGAAGACAGTTGGGGTATTCACCAATCTGATTACAGGGGAAGGTCAGTTCAGGCACTTTCTCTACTATTGCTAGAAGTCTTAGCCTGGGTCCTTATGGATTCCTGGGAAATTCCCTAACACCAGGTTTCCCCCTAATCCCATAATGGCTTTCTCAATCAAGATACCTCTTTCATTGCATTTCCACTTCCTCCCTCCCCCAACTCCATCATCCCGTTCCCTCGTGTTCTCATCCTCTATCCCTTCCCCTCTACCCCATTCCACCCCCAGTTTACCCAGGAGATCTCAACTCTTTACTCTTACAGAGTAATCAGTCCTCCCTGTTGCCTAGCCAAACTGGATAACTTAAAACAAAGAAGAATGAGATTTCACATGTCTAGAGATTTAAAACTCTGTTAGCAAAGTGTCTGCTGTCCGGCAAGGGCCTTCTTGCTTCTTCTTCTAATGACACAAACCAAGAGGAAGAAAGACTGAGAGAGCTTGGGGGCTGTAGAGATGGTTTGATGACTAAGAGCAATAACTGCTCTTCTAAAGGGTTCAATTCCCAGCACCACATGGTTACTTACAACCATCTGTAACTCTAGTCCCAGGAAATCCAACATCCTGTTCTGGTCACATAGGCACCAGGTATGCATGTAGGCAAAACATCCATACACATAAAATTAATTAATTTTATTGTTGTTTGGTTTTGGTTTTTTGGTTCTATTGTGCTTTTGGTTTTTTGGGGGGGGGGGGGTAGTATTTGTTTGTTTTGTTTTTGAGACTGGGTTTCTCTGTAGCTTTGGAGCCTGTCCTGGAACTCACTCTGTACACCAAACTGGCCTCGAAATCACAGAGATCTACCTGCCTCTGCCACTCAAGTGCAGGGATTAAAGACATGCACCATCACCGCCCAGCTGAATTAATTATTTAAGATAGAAACTCAGAGACTCCTCTTAAAAGGACACAGTACTCAAGACTTAAATATCCTCCATGAGGTTGGTTCTATTTCCCCACATTGAAATTCCAGGAATTAGGTTTTGGGGGGGAGATAGATTCAACGCACAGCAAAGATTCGGTTCAGAATCACAGTCGTAATGCTAGGTCTATAACTTGGTGGTAAAGCACTTCCCAGTATGCACAGTTCTTGGATTTGATATCCCTCTCCTCGCAAAACTGCGTAGTAGTATATGATTGTGTAAAACAGGTATGATCAGTTACATTTTTGGTTGGAAGAGGTAAGTATTGGCAGTGAAAGTATTAGAGAAGAATCCAAAGAGAAAGGGTCTGGCAAAATGGTTCAGACATGAAAGAACTGGCCATGTTAGGTCTGACAGCCTAAGTTTGAGCACCAGATCCTGTGGTGGAAGGATAAAACCAGCTCCCAAGAGTTGTCCTCTGGCCGGTCTCCACAGCACTGGAAGTGCATGTGCCTTCAGATATGTATATATTGTGCACACATACAATGATAATAAATAATTTTTGAAAGAAGGATCTAAAGAAAAACATCTCTAGGATGAAACTGGGGAAAAGTTACTACATCTGAAGCTAGGCTAACTAGAAATTATATTATTCAGGGAAACCAAATAATGATCATTTAAATTTCTGTCTCCTAAGTTTGACATCATTGCATCCTTATCCAGTGAATGGATGAAAATGGAGACTGGGGCTTATAGAGGCTCTGTTTGCTCATATCAAACATGTATTACAACAAACACTGTCAGGTTCAATCACCTAATAGTTCATGTTGTGAAGGAACCTGATGTCAAGCCTGATACCCTGAGCATGCCCACTCACCTAATACATGCCCACACATAGAAAGGTAAATGTAATTTTAAAATTTAGTATTTTTCCATATATTAGGACAAAGACAATGGGAAAACTTCTGTGGTTGTGGGGACATGGAACCAAGAAGAGCATGTGGAATGGGCTAAGAAAAACACTGCTAGAGCTTATCATCTTCAAGACGACGGCACCCAGACAGTCAGGTAAAGACTATTTGCCCTTAAAACCTAAAATATTGACAGATTAAATTTTTAAATATACAGAACAGGGCATGGTGCTGAATGCCTTTCATTGCAGCACTTGGGAATCAGAGGCAGGTGGATCTCTGTGAGTTTGAGGCCAGCCTGGTCTACAGTATGAGTTCCAAAACAGCCAGGGCTATACAGAGAAACCCTATTTCAAAACACACACACACACACACACACACACACACAGGTAACATTTTAGATCAGTGTTATTTTAGGGGACAGCCTTTAGAGTCCTTCCTTTGGAGAAAGAAATAACCCAGCATCAAGAACACAGTCATGAGCTGCACATGGTGGTATCCATCTTTATTTCCAGCCAGGGCTATGTAGAGAGACCTTGTCTTCTTCCCCCCACCAAAAAATAAAAATGAAACACCAACCCACAGACTTAGAGTCAGGCAACCAGGGTTCAAATGCTGGATGGCTCTTCAGTAGTAATACCTTGGGCAGATTATATAATCTGTAAACCTCACTTGTCTAATAGTATATCCCTATAAGGTTTTGAGGACATTTAAGTAAAATAACCTATCCTAATAATAACATTCAGTAAACTGCCTGCTGCCGTTAATAGTGATAATGGTATAAGACTGACGTGATAGGGTTGGAGAGATGGCTCAGGGGTTAAGAGCACTGGTTCTTCTACCAGAGTATGTAGATTCAATTCCCAGCACTCACATGGTGGCTCACAGCCATCTATAACTAGTCTCATGGGATCTGATGCCCTCTTCAGGTGTGCAGATGTACATGTAGACAAAACACCCAAATACATAAATAAGTATTAAAAACAAAGAAAAAAATTTAAGGGGGCTGGAAAGATGACTCAAAGGTTAAGAGCACTGGCAGCTCTTCCAGAGATCCTGAATTCAATTCCCAGCAACCACATGGCTCACAACCATTTATACTAGGATCTGATGCCCTCTTCTGGCATAAAGATATACATGCAGATAGAGCACTCATACATAAAATAAATATTTTTTTTAAATGTTAAAAGCAACTAAAGACTGGCAGCGATGTTAGTGACAGTGATTCCATTCTTTTGTTTTTGTTTGGTTTTGTTAAAGATGGGGGGGGGGGGGCGCTGTTTGCCTGCATACATGTGGTGTGCACCATATACGTGCCTGTTGCCCACAGAGGCAACAGAGGCCAGAAGAGGGTTTCAGATTCCTTGAAACTGGAGTCACAGGCAGTTGTAAGCTGCTACATGGATGCTTGAAATTAAACCTAGGCCCAGTTTTATTCTTCTGTATAGTGATGGAGATTGAACCCAGGGCTTCGTGATTAACCATCATCCATGGCAGGCAATCACTCTAATACTAAACTACCTCCCCACTTCCAACAATTATTTGATTCAATCAGAACTATGGCTCTTCTAAAGCATTTGTGTTTGTGAGTTTTTTACTTGGTAAATATACCTTGTTATTTCCCCTTGATACATAGTTTTGTGACATAGTGTTCACATATCCTTTATGCTATGTGGGTTTATTTATTATTACCAGAAGTTAACCTTACTTCCCAACAATAACTATGCTTCAGCTTTTCTTGTAGTCCCTTTTCCAGTAAACTTAAAAGATTAATTCTTGTTCATTCTCAAATGTTAACTTTTGCTTCTTCCTGGAACAATTAGTAATGATAAATTGCTTTTAAAATAATGCTGACTTTTCAGGCCGACCAGAATCAAAGTTAGGAAAATTAAAATAGAGATCTAAATATTCGGTGTACTAGAGAGATTATTTTAGGCTTATGTTTCCTGCAGAAAAAAAAATAGCTTTTAGCATCATGTGCTTAGTATTGAAGCCTAGAAGAGTATGACTAGAAAACATAATATTGCTCAATTTGGAAGTTACACTTTGGCAGAGGCTTGTTTTTTGTTCCACATACATAGTACTGTTTAATGGGATAGAAAACAGAAAGGAAGAATTGTTTCACTAAATAAACAATGAACTAGGTTGGAGAATTTGGGTAATTTTAAAACTGTAACTTTTATAACTTTGTTTTGTTTATTTCTTTGGTTGGTTGGTTGAGATAGATCTTGCTGTTAGCCTTACTGGCCTCAAGCTCATAGCAATCCTGCTCCATTACCCTTCCAAGGGCTGGCGTTAAAGATATTTGAGCCATATGTAATATGGACAGCATTAAGAAACTTAGTACAAAGTCTCTTTGATTTGTATTTTCCTTATAGAACTGACTTTGTGATGTAACCTTGTCACTTACCCATTACCGTTATTCTAATTAGTAAGACTGTAATAAAGCTTGTGTGTTTTCCAACTCAGGATGGTGTCACATTTTTATGGAAATGGGGATATTTGTGATATAACGGACAAACCCAGACAAGTGACTGTAAAACTAAAGTAAGTTGAATCCTTTTACCTACTTTTTATTGACAAAAGTTTTACATAAGATGTAATAACTAAATAAGTATTAAATTGTGTTACTTAAGTTAAATTATACTGAGTCCATTTAAATATTTTCATACCTTAATAACAAAAATGCTGTTTTTTGTGACACAGGCAATACCTTAAAGTGCTCTGTATTTTAGGTGTAAAGAATCAGATTCTCCTCATGCTGTTACTGTATATATGCTCGAGCCTCACTCCTGCCAGTATATTCTTGGGGTGAGTAAAATGAAAATAATCAAAAGTTCACTTAGGAGCTAAGTGGTAGAGCACTTATCAAGAGTGAAGGTGGTGGCGCACGCCTTTAATCCCAGCACTCGGGAGGCAGAGGCAGGCGGATCTCTGTGAGTTCGAGGCCGGGCTGGACCGACAGCCTCCAAAACAATACAGAGAAACCCTGTCTCGTAAAAACAAACAAAAAAAAAAAAAGCAAAAAAAAAAAAAGAGTGAAGGAGGTCCTGGATTTAATCCCAATACCACCAAATGAAAAGAAATAAATTGTTGACATATTTGAATTTTTTGTGTTAAATCTACAAAGGGCAGTCTTAAGATTTAATAAGCATGTTTTTCTTTTGAGGTATAATTTACATAAAATCACAAAGGCCTACTCAGTTGGTAGAGTGTGAGCCTAGCATGCATGAAGCCCTGGGTTCAATTCCTAGCACCTCATAAAATCAACCAGGCATGAAGGTATATACATCTGTAATCCCATTGCTTAAGAGGTGGAGACAGGAGGATAAGTTGTTCATATCATCTTCAAGTGCACAAGGAGGTCAAGGCCAGCCTAGCATATCTGAGATCTTGTAATAAAGCAGAGATCTTAAATGCTGAGTTTGATGATATTTAACCATTTAACCTTGTAAAATCACCTAAAGTAAGGTCTGTCACATCAGGAAATTCTGATACCCCATCACCAGAGGATACCTCTTTCTGATTTCTGATACTGTAGATGAGGTGTGCTTCATTTGGGATTCCACAAGAATGGAGTTCCCTGGTGTGCTTGGCTTTTCACACTCCGTGTATTGAATATATCAGTACTTCATTCTCTTTGTGTTGCCAGATTATATTATTTTGTGTAACTATACTGTGTGTGCTTAATCATTCTTCTGTAGATGGACATTTGATTTGTTTTTCTTTTTTTTTTTCTTTTTTTGGATGTAATGAAGTGTTTTACATGTCTTTCTGTGGTTATGTTTTCATTCATTATGGGTAAATACATGTGAGTGGAATTTCTAGGTCATTGGTAGAAATAAATTCTACCAGATGATTCACCAAAATGCTAGTGCAGTTTTAATCCACCAATGGTGTGTGAGAGTCCAGTTACTCCATCTCCTCACTAGCTTTATTTTCAGTCTTCTTTGTTAGTTATTTTAGTGGGTGTAGTGTGCATTCTCATAAAAATATTTTGTGTTATTATTGGCCTTGGTATACTTTTGTAAAGCCTTACAACAAACCAGACTTTAATAAAGAATAAGTTATTCTGATACTTCTTAAAATGGTTAAGAAGACTTTATTCAGTACTGTTTTTATCAGTACCAAGACTTGCAGGGAAGGTCATTTGATCAAAATACATTGTGTACATGTGTGAAATTCAAGATAAATAAGACTATTGCAGTAACAGAAACAAGCCAAGCTTAACTCTGAATGCTGAAGAGACAGCTGAGGATCAGTAGCCCACAGGTCAAATGAGAGAAGTTAGTAAGTAGAAAATCACAGAGACATCAAGGGTCTGGGCTTCTTACTGAAACAGCCAGAGTGATCAGATGTTCAGTGTGGAGGTTCTTTCTCTTGGTACAGATGGACTAGGTAGGCCAGAGACAGCCCAAGATGTAACTGGGCAGAGGCTCAAAGGATCCTGACTGCTGATGAAGGAGTACAATCTGTTGTCAGTCTCTTACCCACTTTTCCTGTTGTTACTTATCTTCTGACTGTTTGATTCTAGGAGTTCAAAAGTATTCTAGGGGCTGGAGAGGTGGGTTCAGAGATTAAGAGCACTAGCTGCTCTTTCAGAGATCCTGAGTGCAATTCCCAACAACCACATGATGTCTCACAACCATCTGTAATGAGATCTGGTGCCCACCTTCTGATGCTCAGGCATACATGCAGGCAGAACATAGTATATGTAATAAACAAATCTTTTTTAAAAGTATTATAGATACAACCTCTTTGTATTGTACACATCTTTTTCATACTCTGGCAGCTTCACCTTTTTAAATGTCTTCTTTTAAGCAAAACTATGTTATTCTACTATGTTCAGTTTTTTGTTCTTGTTTTTTAAATTTTATGGGTACTGCTTTTTTGTGTCCTGAGAAGTTTTTGCTACCTCAGAGTCATGGAAACACCCTCTTAGATTTTTTTCTAAAGACTCTGTAATACTAAGTTTGATTATGTTGTAAGTGTGCTTTTTTTCTGTTTTTTGTTTGTTTTGTTTTGTTTTGTGTTTTTTTGTTTTTCGAGACAGGGTTTCTCTGTATTATTTTGAAGGCCATCCTGAAACTCGCTCTGTAAACCAAGCTGGTCGAACTCATAGATATCCTCCTGCCTCTGCCTCCCAAGTGCTGGGATTAAAGGTGTGCACCACCAACACCTGGCTTCTGTTCTTTTCATATGAATTGTAGAAAAATTTTGGCCATTATCTCCTCAGAGATTTTTTTTCTGCCCTATTCCTTTTTTTCCTCTCTGAAATTCAGGTGGGAGGGTGTTTGTTTTTGAGACAAGGTTTCTGTGTGCTGCTCTGGTTGTCCTGGAACTTACTCTGTAGACCAGACTGTCCTTGAACTCACAGAGATCTGCCTGCCTCTGCCTCCCAAGTGCTGAAGTTAAAGGTGTGCACCACCACCAAACAGTCTGAAATTCTAATTAAGCATTAATTTGAAATTGTTCAAAAATCTCAGAAACTTCCTTTCATTCCCACTTCCACCTCCACCCTGCCCTGTACTTCACTCCTCACTTCTCTTACCATGTCTAGTTTGTTGCTGAGTTTATCTGTGATGCACTTTTCATCTCTTACTATTTCCATTGGATTCTTAGGATTTTTTTTTCCTCTACTTAAATTCTCTCTGGTCACATATTTACCTTTTTTCCTCGTATGTGTTTGGCTTTTGTTTTTCACAGTAATGACAGCTGACTCATCTTTAAGTTAGTGTTTACTTTGCCTTTTAAATAGAACTGCTTATTTTGCCATAATATTTTACTGTTCTAATTGTGTAAACTGTGTCTACAAACTCCTCACATATTCCTATCCATATTTACTTAGAGATAAAAAAATATTTTATCTACTTATTTCATAGTTTATATGAATGACTAAAATTAGTTTTTCAGTAATCTTTATTAATGCCAGGCATCATAGAACCTGTCTGTAACCCAACAGTCAGGATTGCCAAGTGTTCAAGGCTAGCATGACCCTACCACCACCACCCCCAAAAAAGAGCCTAATTTGTAGGTAAAATGTTGGGTGGTTTATCCAAACCAAGAACTCGTACAGTTAGCAAATATATTCATTGAGGAGAAGACACTTTCTAATGACATTGTTGTTATTCTTCAGGTTGAATCTCCAGTAATCTGTAAAATCCTAGATACAGCTGATGAAAATGGACTTCTTTCTCTCCCAAACTAAATTAAAATTGAAGGGAAGAAAGATGATTTAAGGTCCTCACTTCCTCCTGACCATTGGACCCTGTCTACAGTATCATATGAAAGGACTGGCAACCACGCTGTGAAATACATGTGTATATAAGAGGTCATTGATAAACTTGTAAGGCAGACATTTGTCTCACTTCATTTATTTTGGTGTTATATGAGTTGATTTCATTTTGACTTTGCTTGGATAGTGTGATTTCAAAATCTGATTCAAGAAGTTTAGAGTTCACCCCATTCAAATGTTATAATCTTGTACTTGTTGAAATACTTTTAAGTATTATACTTATTGTGTAAATTATAGCATATATAATGAGCTAAAGAAGTAAAGCTAATGAAGAGAAGTTGCTAGGAGAGTGTTTGAATGAGAGGTCATGTAAAATGTGTGCAATTCTAGTGTCTGAGATGTTCTCAACAAACTTTCTGAGGCAGCTGCTCTGGGCAAGCACTGAACTAGAAGTGGCGGCAGAGTAGAGCCTCACAGATGACCCAACACCACTGGTATCTCAAGAGACTGTTTTATGACAGGTTGTTCCTCTTCCTAAACTTTTATGATTCTTCTTATAAATTAGTTTATTACCAGCATATAGGTTGGTGTCTTCCCTAAATTACAATGGTTCATTCTAAAACTCACTGTGCTGGCTGTCTGTTGTACCTGCCTGCTGTATATTCTAAATCTTAGTTCTGGACAGTTTTGCATCATATTATTTATTGCAAAAAGAATAAAATGTTCATAAGCAGTCTTTTCATGTAAACAGTGACCAATTATTCAGTTCCTTTATTTTCTCCTTTATCCTTTTGCATATATTTTATACATAGGTGTAGGAACAAGGACAGAAAAGTAGTTACAAGGGGCTGGAGTGCAGGTAGCTCAGAGATAGAGCACACTAGCATGTTTGAGGCCCTGGTTCAACCTTCAGCACCTAAAATAAAGAGCTGGATATTGGGGTTTATGCCTTTGTTTCCAGCACTGAGTAAGCAGATACAGTGGGATCAAAAAGTTCAAGGCTAGCCTGGCCTATATGGCCAGTTCTGCACTAACCAGGGCTACAAAGTGAGACCCTAACTTAAAAAGTCAAAACAAAAAGAAAATGTAGCCAGAATACTCCTGAAAAACACTGTATTAAAATCTGGTAAAATCTGTATTAAGAAAGGGTTTGTGGCCAAGCCTAGTGGCATATACTTTGTAATACCATCACTTGGGCGGTAAATATTGGAAAACCAGAAGTTCAGGGTCGTCCTCTACTGCGTAGTGAGTTTGAAACCAACCAGGGCTACAAGAGACCTTGTCTCAGAAGTAAGTAAATAAATTCCATAATGGCTGGGGGAGTTTAGTGCTAAAGCATTTGCCTACTGTAAGACCCTAAGTCCATTCAGTCTAGAACAGTGGTTCTCATCCTTTGGTTTATGTTGCCTTTGAGATTGAATGAGTCATTCACAGGGATCACCTAAGACATCAGAAAACATAGATATTTATATTACAATTCATAAGAGTAGCAAAATTACAGTATGAAGTAGCCACAAAAATAGTTTTATGGTTTGGTGTCACGAGTCTTTTTCTGTCCCACCAGCCAGCTCCCAAATAACAACATGGAGACTTATTAATATTAATTATGAAAGCTCGGCCTATAGCATATGTGTGTTCCTAGCTAGCTCTTACAACTTAAATTAACCCATTTATATTAATCTACGTTCTGTCATGTGGCATTACCTCTTTTCCATCTTGCACCTCCTGTTTCCTCTCCATGTCTCCTGGTGTCTCTTTCACACCTAGATTCCTCCTCCCTTTCTTCTCCCAGAAATCCCACCTATACATCCTGTCTAGCTATTGGCTGTTCAGCTTTTTATTACAGTAATCATAGCAATACATTTTCACACCGTGTACAAATATCCAATAGTTGGGAATTACCACATCACAAACTGTATTAAATGGACACAGCATTAGGAAGGTTGAAAACCACAGCTCTAGAAGACAAACATTGTATGGCTGGGCTGAGGGCTGGAGATGCAGCTCATTTAGATACACTGCCTAGCATGCCCAAGATCCTGAATTCCATCTCTAACACAGCACAAAGAAAAAGGTAAATGGCTAGACATAGTAACATAGTGGCTTAACCCCAGCACTTAAAAGACTGACACAGAGGGGTGCCATTGAAAAGGCAGGGACTCTTGAGTTTAAACCTAGATCCACACCCTCTCTAGTTTATTATAAATTATATTGGGGGGGAAAAATTCAACTGTTCCTACATAGCATAAAATGCCCCCAGGTAACCAAAAATATATGGAAAATTCATTCTGTAGCAACCAAATTCAGCACCTTTAGGTGTCCTACTATTCATTTTAGTTCTTACACTTGGACTTAGCTTCATCAAACACCCTAAAAGAATTCAACCTCACAAGGATGCCCCCACATCAAATGCCAGTTGCAAATACTGGATTCTATTTTTTTTTTTATTTTTTTTTATACATTTATGTGTGGACCTATTTGCCTGTATGTATACCACATGTGTGCAATACCCATGGAAGCCAGAAAATGACACTGGGTCTCCTGGAACTGGAGTTACAGTTGTGAGCCAGCTGATGTGGGTGCTAGAGATAGAACTCAGGTCCTCTACAAGAACAGTAGGTGTTCTTAACCACTGAGTCATCTCTCCAGTCTCCGGATTCTAATACCTTCAATCAGCCAACTATACATCGTAGTTTCAAGACCTACTACTTGATCTCAAAAGTTTTCAGGAATGGCTCACAGAACTCTAGTAAATATTTGGTTTACCAGTTCTAAATGATACAATACTGATAGAGACAAATGAAAGAGATAAATAAGAGAAGGAAGTTCCAGCAGGGTTCAGCTTCCACACGCCTATACTGCCTCAGTCTACTGCTCTGGGCACCCTTGGAATCTTAAGAGTTCAAAGGTATATATGGTATAACCGTCTGTGAGGCCAGCCTCCAGCAGCACAGGGCTCAAATGGAATCCACACAGACAGGGAGTACTATGACTTATTTATCTGATGATGTTAAGGGAAAATGACACAAATTCTTGAGGATTTCCTTCAGACCTTTTCTTTATTCTTTTGCATTCTCTAGTCTTTATTTTCCTGGTGATTTCCTTCTCTCATTCTTGGTGTTTTCCTTCTAACTCTATCTTTATTCTTGATGATTTCTTTCTAACTCATTTTCCCTTACAGCTTATATACCAGAGGTAAGTCTTTCAGGCAATATAAAAATTACAATGAGGTTACACTCTGTTTTTCAAGTGAATGATTACAATGAATACAAGTAAAAAAAAAAAAAAAAAGCATGTTTTCCAAATCCCTTAGATGACTAAACATTTTACGTATTACAGGTGGAAAACAAGTTGTTCCGTGTACACTTACACCCAAGTAAATTGTTATAGATTAATAATGTGTAAGCAAGCAAAGTATTCTTTTACTGGCAGGCTGCATTTTTCAGTTACAAAGAAAGGACCAATCACTTGATTACTTATCTTGAAAGGTAATCTTATAAGGAATCTCAGCTTTTATATATGAAAAAGAATCAGGAGCCAGGCAGTGGTGGTGCATGCCTTTAATCCCAGCACTCGGGAGGCAGAGGCAGGTGGATCTTAGGGAGTTCTAGGCTAGGTTAGTCTACAAAGTGAGTGCCAGCCAGGACTGTAAACAGAGAACCTGTCTTGGAAAAAAAAAAAAAAAGAAAGAAAAGGGGAAGATTTGTTTGTTGTTTGTTTGTTTGGGGGTGTTGGCTTTCTCTGTAGCTTTGGAGTCTATTCAGGATCTTGCTTTGTACACCAGGCTGGCCTCAAACTCACAGAGATCCGCCTGTCTCTGCCTCCCAAGTGCTCAATTGTTTTTCTTAATCATTAACCTGAGCCACAGTCTATATGATTCTTCAATAGAAACTCATGTGTTCTAACTGTGTGGCATTTCCTCATTTTTTTTGATCATCAAAACTCTATTTAAACTAACCTTATTATCAATTAGACAGTACAGCTTAGGAAGAAACCATCTTCATAATAATGCACAGGTAAAAATGCCCAGGAGAACATGACATTTCCATGAGGTAAACACACTACATTACAGGCAGTGGGGATCTTACCACACCCATTCACACCATGCCAGAAAGCAAAGAAAGATGGCAACAGCAAACATGTAAAGGCACAGGGGAAGCAAAAGACATTCTGTGGTCTCAGGGCCTGCATTTCCCAGCTTCACCCATCAGGAATTTTCATACTGGTGGGCTGACACCTGAACTTCAATTTGACCCTCTAGCATGGCCACCAGCAAAATGGAACTCGATACTTCCACCCATAACATACACATGCTCTTTTCCAGAGGTCACTGGATGGGACTGAAGTTCCAGCCATGCAATCATTTGGTCCTTCTGGTGAGTGACCATGTTTGGAGACTATCTAGGGGTTGTGCTTTTTCACCATAGGTGCTGAAACCAAGCTATATTCTTAAGCTACTCAACATTACATAAAACTGATTTTTGAGACTGTGCCTTGCCCTGAGAGACTCCATTTTATAAGCAGCATCTGGCTCTAATTTGGGTAGAAACAAGGATAAGGATGACTCGGTCAGTACCTTGGAGACATGTAAATAAGAGTCCATCTGTCGCCACCCACAAGGCACAACTGATAACGTTTCTAAAGTAAAAACAATACCACCCTATAAGTTTGCCAAAGTAAACAGATGAGTACATAAGCATGTTAAAACTGTATCAAGAAATTCAGCAAGAACTTACTAAACATAGGGTTTCTAGTGCTGTGAAAAGACACCATGACCACAGCAACTCTTACAAAGGAGAACATTTAATTGGGGCTGGCTTACAGTTTCAGAAGTCTAGTCCATTATCATCATGATGGATCATGGCAGTGTGCAGGCAGACAAGGTGCTGAAGAAGGTGCTGAGAGTTCTACATCTTGATCCTCAGGAAATAGGAGTCTGTAGTAGATGTAACTTAAGCATATATGAGACCTCAAAGTCCACCCCCACAGTAACACACTTCCTCCAACAAAGCCACACCTACTCAAACCACCCCACTCCCACTTCCTGTCTGCCCTAAGATTATAGCCACGTCGTAATACAAAAATGCATTCAGTTCAACCTCAAAAGTTCCCATAGTCTGGAACAGTCTCAAACTTATGTAAAAGTCTAAAAGTTCAGTCTCTTCTGAGACTTGTGCAGTCTCTTAACTGTATTCCCCTGTAAAATTAGAAACGCAGATCACATACTTCGCCGGGCGATGGTGGCGCACGCCTTTAATCCCAGCACTCGGGAGGCAGAGGCAGGCGGATCTCTGTGAGTTCGAGGCCGGGCTGGACCGACAGCCTCCAAAACAATACAGAGAAACCCTGTCTCGTAAAAACAAACAAAAAAAAAAAAAGCCAAAAAAAAAAAAAGAGTGAAGGAGGTCCTGGATTTAATCCCAATACCACCAAATGAAAAGAAATAAATTGTTGACATATTTGAATTTTTTGTGTTAAATCTACAAAGGGCAGTCTTAAGATTTAATAAGCATGTTTTTCTTTTGAGGTATAATTTACATAAAATCACAAAGGCCTACTCAGTTGGTAGAGTGTGAGCCTAGCATGCATGAAGCCCTGGGTTCAATTCCTAGCACCTCATAAAATCAACCAGGCATGAAGGTATATACATCTGTAATCCCATTGCTTAAGAGGTGGAGACAGGAGGATAAGTTGTTCATATCATCTTCAAGTGCACAAGGAGGTCAAGGCCAGCCTAGCATATCTGAGATCTTGTAATAAAGCAGAGATCTTAAATGCTGAGTTTGATGATATTTAACCATTTAACCTTGTAAAATCACCTAAAGTAAGGTCTGTCACATCAGGAAATTCTGATACCCCATCACCAGAGGATACCTCTTTCTGATTTCTGATACTGTAGATGAGGTGTGCTTCATTTGGGATTCCACAAGAATGGAGTTCCCTGGTGTGCTTGGCTTTTCACACTCCGTGTATTGAATATATCAGTACTTCATTCTCTTTGTGTTGCCAGATTATATTATTTTGTGTAACTATACTGTGTGTGCTTAATCATTCTTCTGTAGATGGACATTTGATTTGTTTTTCTTTTTTTTTTTCTTTTTTTGGATGTAATGAAGTGTTTTACATGTCTTTCTGTGGTTATGTTTTCATTCATTATGGGTAAATACATGTGAGTGGAATTTCTAGGTCATTGGTAGAAATAAATTCTACCAGATGATTCACCAAAATGCTAGTGCAGTTTTAATCCACCAATGGTGTGTGAGAGTCCAGTTACTCCATCTCCTCACTAGCTTTATTTTCAGTCTTCTTTGTTAGTTATTTTAGTGGGTGTAGTGTGCATTCTCATAAAAATATTTTGTGTTATTATTGGCCTTGGTATACTTTTGTAAAGCCTTACAACAAACCAGACTTTAATAAAGAATAAGTTATTCTGATACTTCTTAAAATGGTTAAGAAGACTTTATTCAGTACTGTTTTTATCAGTACCAAGACTTGCAGGGAAGGTCATTTGATCAAAATACATTGTGTACATGTGTGAAATTCAAGATAAATAAGACTATTGCAGTAACAGAAACAAGCCAAGCTTAACTCTGAATGCTGAAGAGACAGCTGAGGATCAGTAGCCCACAGGTCAAATGAGAGAAGTTAGTAAGTAGAAAATCACAGAGACATCAAGGGTCTGGGCTTCTTACTGAAACAGCCAGAGTGATCAGATGTTCAGTGTGGAGGTTCTTTCTCTTGGTACAGATGGACTAGGTAGGCCAGAGACAGCCCAAGATGTAACTGGGCAGAGGCTCAAAGGATCCTGACTGCTGATGAAGGAGTACAATCTGTTGTCAGTCTCTTACCCACTTTTCCTGTTGTTACTTATCTTCTGACTGTTTGATTCTAGGAGTTCAAAAGTATTCTAGGGGCTGGAGAGGTGGGTTCAGAGATTAAGAGCACTAGCTGCTCTTTCAGAGATCCTGAGTGCAATTCCCAACAACCACATGATGTCTCACAACCATCTGTAATGAGATCTGGTGCCCACCTTCTGATGCTCAGGCATACATGCAGGCAGAACATAGTATATGTAATAAACAAATCTTTTTTAAAAGTATTATAGATACAACCTCTTTGTATTGTACACATCTTTTTCATACTCTGGCAGCTTCACCTTTTTAAATGTCTTCTTTTAAGCAAAACTATGTTATTCTACTATGTTCAGTTTTTTGTTCTTGTTTTTTAAATTTTATGGGTACTGCTTTTTTGTGTCCTGAGAAGTTTTTGCTACCTCAGAGTCATGGAAACACCCTCTTAGATTTTTTTCTAAAGACTCTGTAATACTAAGTTTGATTATGTTGTAAGTGTGCTTTTTTTCTGTTTTTTGTTTGTTTTGTTTTGTTTTGTGTTTTTTTGTTTTTCGAGACAGGGTTTCTCTGTATTATTTTGAAGGCCATCCTGAAACTCGCTCTGTAAACCAAGCTGGTCGAACTCATAGATATCCTCCTGCCTCTGCCTCCCAAGTGCTGGGATTAAAGGTGTGCACCACCAACACCTGGCTTCTGTTCTTTTCATATGAATTGTAGAAAAATTTTGGCCATTATCTCCTCAGAGATTTTTTTCTGCCCTATTCCTTTTTTCCTCTCTGAAATTCAGGTGGGAGGGTGTTTGTTTTTGAGACAAGGTTTCTGTGTGCTGCTCTGGTTGTCCTGGAACTTACTCTGTAGACCAGACTGTCCTTGAACTCACAGAGATCTGCCTGCCTCTGCCTCCCAAGTGCTGAAGTTAAAGGTGTGCACCACCACCAAACAGTCTGAAATTCTAATTAAGCATTAATTTGAAATTGTTCAAAAATCTCAGAAACTTCCTTTCATTCCCACTTCCACCTCCACCCTGCCCTGTACTTCACTCCTCACTTCTCTTACCATGTCTAGTTTGTTGCTGAGTTTATCTGTGATGCACTTTTCATCTCTTACTATTTCCATTGGATTCTTAGGATTTTTTTTTCCTCTACTTAAATTCTCTCTGGTCACATATTTACCTTTTTTCCTCGTATGTGTTTGGCTTTTGTTTTTCACAGTAATGACAGCTGACTCATCTTTAAGTTAGTGTTTACTTTGCCTTTTAAATAGAACTGCTTATTTTGCCATAATATTTTACTGTTCTAATTGTGTAAACTGTGTCTACAAACTCCTCACATATTCCTATCCATATTTACTTAGAGATAAAAAAATATTTTATCTACTTATTTCATAGTTTATATGAATGACTAAAATTAGTTTTTCAGTAATCTTTATTAATGCCAGGCATCATAGAACCTGTCTGTAACCCAACAGTCAGGATTGCCAAGTGTTCAAGGCTAGCATGACCCTACCACCACCACCCCCAAAAAAGAGCCTAATTTGTAGGTAAAATGTTGGGTGGTTTATCCAAACCAAGAACTCGTACAGTTAGCAAATATATTCATTGAGGAGAAGACACTTTCTAATGACATTGTTGTTATTCTTCAGGTTGAATCTCCAGTAATCTGTAAAATCCTAGATACAGCTGATGAAAATGGACTTCTTTCTCTCCCAAACTAAATTAAAATTGAAGGGAAGAAAGATGATTTAAGGTCCTCACTTCCTCCTGACCATTGGACCCTGTCTACAGTATCATATGAAAGGACTGGCAACCACGCTGTGAAATACATGTGTATATAAGAGGTCATTGATAAACTTGTAAGGCAGACATTTGTCTCACTTCATTTATTTTGGTGTTATATGAGTTGATTTCATTTTGACTTTGCTTGGATAGTGTGATTTCAAAATCTGATTCAAGAAGTTTAGAGTTCACCCCATTCAAATGTTATAATCTTGTACTTGTTGAAATACTTTTAAGTATTATACTTATTGTGTAAATTATAGCATATATAATGAGCTAAAGAAGTAAAGCTAATGAAGAGAAGTTGCTAGGAGAGTGTTTGAATGAGAGGTCATGTAAAATGTGTGCAATTCTAGTGTCTGAGATGTTCTCAACAAACTTTCTGAGGCAGCTGCTCTGGGCAAGCACTGAACTAGAAGTGGCGGCAGAGTAGAGCCTCACAGATGACCCAACACCACTGGTATCTCAAGAGACTGTTTTATGACAGGTTGTTCCTCTTCCTAAACTTTTATGATTCTTCTTATAAATTAGTTTATTACCAGCATATAGGTTGGTGTCTTCCCTAAATTACAATGGTTCATTCTAAAACTCACTGTGCTGGCTGGCTGTTGTACCTGCCTGCTGTATATTCTAAATCTTAGTTCTGGACAGTTTTGCATCATATTATTTATTGCAAAAAGAATAAAATGTTCATAAGCAGTCTTTTCATGTAAACAGTGACCAATTATTCAGTTCCTTTATTTTCTCCTTTATCCTTTTGCATATATTTTATACATAGGTGTAGGAACAAGGACAGAAAAGTAGTTACAAGGGGCTGGAGTGCAGGTAGCTCAGAGATAGAGCACACTAGCATGTTTGAGGCCCTGGTTCAACCTTCAGCACCTAAAATAAAGAGCTGGATATTGGGGTTTATGCCTTTGTTTCCAGCACTGAGTAAGCAGATACAGTGGGATCAAAAAGTTCAAGGCTAGCCTGGCCTATATGGCCAGTTCTGCACTAACCAGGGCTACAAAGTGAGACCCTAACTTAAAAAGTCAAAACAAAAAGAAAATGTAGCCAGAATACTCCTGAAAAACACTGTATTAAAATCTGGTAAAATCTGTATTAAGAAAGGGTTTGTGGCCAAGCCTAGTGGCATATACTTTGTAATACCATCACTTGGGCGGTAAATATTGGAAAACCAGAAGTTCAGGGTCGTCCTCTACTGCGTAGTGAGTTTGAAACCAACCAGGGCTACAAGAGACCTTGTCTCAGAAGTAAGTAAATAAATTCCATAATGGCTGGGGGAGTTTAGTGCTAAAGTATTTGCCTACTGTAAGACCCTAAGTCCATTCAGTCTAGAACAGTGGTTCTCATCCTTTGGTTTATGTTGCCTTTGAGATTGAATGAGTCATTCACAGGGATCACCTAAGACATCAGAAAACATAGATATTTATATTACAATTCATAAGAGTAGCAAAATTACAGTATGAAGTAGCCACAAAAATAGTTTTATGGTTTGGTGTCACGAGTCTTTTTCTGTCCCACCAGCCAGCTCCCAAATAACAACATGGAGACTTATTAATATTAATTATGAAAGCTCGGCCTATAGCATATGTGTGTTCCTAGCTAGCTCTTACAACTTAAATTAACCCATTTATATTAATCTACGTTCTGTCATGTGGCATTACCTCTTTTCCATCTTGCACCTCCTGTTTCCTCTCCATGTCTCCTGGTGTCTCTTTCACACCTAGATTCCTCCTCCCTTTCTTCTCCCAGAAATCCCACCTATACATCCTGTCTAGCTATTGGCTGTTCAGCTTTTTATTACAGTAATCATAGCAATACATTTTCACACCGTGTACAAATATCCAATAGTTGGGAATTACCACATCACAAACTGTATTAAATGGACACAGCATTAGGAAGGTTGAAAACCACAGCTCTAGAAGACAAACATTGTATGGCTGGGCTGAGGGCTGGAGATGCAGCTCATTTAGATACACTGCCTAGCATGCCCAAGATCCTGAATTCCATCTCTAACACAGCACAAAGAAAAAGGTAAATGGCTAGACATAGTAACATAGTGGCTTAACCCCAGCACTTAAAAGACTGACACAGAGGGGTGCCATTGAAAAGGCAGGGACTCTTGAGTTTAAACCTAGATCCACACCCTCTCTAGTTTATTATAAATTATATTGGGGGGAAAAATTCAACTGTTCCTACATAGCATAAAATGCCCCCAGGTAACCAAAAATATATGGAAAATTCATTCTGTAGCAACCAAATTCAGCACCTTTAGGTGTCCTACTATTCATTTTAGTTCTTACACTTGGACTTAGCTTCATCAAACACCCTAAAAGAATTCAACCTCACAAGGATGCCCCCACATCAAATGCCAGTTGCAAATACTGGATTCTATTTTTTTTTATTTTTTTATACATTTATGTGTGGACCTATTTGCCTGTATGTATACCACATGTGTGCAATACCCATGGAAGCCAGAAAATGACACTGGGTCTCCTGGAACTGGAGTTACAGTTGTGAGCCAGCTGATGTGGGTGCTAGAGATAGAACTCAGGTCCTCTACAAGAACAGTAGGTGTTCTTAACCACTGAGTCATCTCTCCAGTCTCCGGATTCTAATACCTTCAATCAGCCAACTATACATCGTAGTTTCAAGACCTACTACTTGATCTCAAAAGTTTTCAGGAATGGCTCACAGAACTCTAGTAAATATTTGGTTTACCAGTTCTAAATGATACAATACTGATAGAGACAAATGAAAGAGATAAATAAGAGAAGGAAGTTCCAGCAGGGTTCAGCTTCCACACGCCTATACTGCCTCAGTCTACTGCTCTGGGCACCCTTGGAATCTTAAGAGTTCAAAGGTATATATGGTATAACCGTCTGTGAGGCCAGCCTCCAGCAGCACAGGGCTCAAATGGAATCCACACAGACAGGGAGTACTATGACTTATTTATCTGATGATGTTAAGGGAAAATGACACAAATTCTTGAGGATTTCCTTCAGACCTTTTCTTTATTCTTTTGCATTCTCTAGTCTTTATTTTCCTGGTGATTTCCTTCTCTCATTCTTGGTGTTTTCCTTCTAACTCTATCTTTATTCTTGATGATTTCTTTCTAACTCATTTTCCCTTACAGCTTATATACCAGAGGTAAGTCTTTCAGGCAATATAAAAATTACAATGAGGTTACACTCTGTTTTTCAAGTGAATGATTACAATGAATACAAGTAAAAAAAAAAAAAAAAAAAGCATGTTTTCCAAATCCCTTAGATGACTAAACATTTTACGTATTACAGGTGGAAAACAAGTTGTTCCGTGTACACTTACACCCAAGTAAATTGTTATAGATTAATAATGTGTAAGCAAGCAAAGTATTCTTTTACTGGCAGGCTGCATTTTTCAGTTACAAAGAAAGGACCAATCACTTGATTACTTATCTTGAAAGGTAATCTTATAAGGAATCTCAGCTTTTATATATGAAAAAGAATCAGGAGCCAGGCAGTGGTGGTGCATGCCTTTAATCCCAGCACTCGGGAGGCAGAGGCAGGTGGATCTTAGGGAGTTCTAGGCTAGGTTAGTCTACAAAGTGAGTGCCAGCCAGGACTGTAAACAGAGAACCTGTCTTGGAAAAAAAAAAAAAAAGAAAGAAAAGGGGAAGATTTGTTTGTTGTTTGTTTGTTTGGGGGTGTTGGCTTTCTCTGTAGCTTTGGAGTCTATTCAGGATCTTGCTTTGTACACCAGGCTGGCCTCAAACTCACAGAGATCCGCCTGTCTCTGCCTCCCAAGTGCTCAATTGTTTTTCTTAATCATTAACCTGAGCCACAGTCTATATGATTCTTCAATAGAAACTCATGTGTTCTAACTGTGTGGCATTTCCTCATTTTTTTTGATCATCAAAACTCTATTTAAACTAACCTTATTATCAATTAGACAGTACAGCTTAGGAAGAAACCATCTTCATAATAATGCACAGGTAAAAATGCCCAGGAGAACATGACATTTCCATGAGGTAAACACACTACATTACAGGCAGTGGGGATCTTACCACACCCATTCACACCATGCCAGAAAGCAAAGAAAGATGGCAACAGCAAACATGTAAAGGCACAGGGGAAGCAAAAGACATTCTGTGGTCTCAGGGCCTGCATTTCCCAGCTTCACCCATCAGGAATTTTCATACTGGTGGGCTGACACCTGAACTTCAATTTGACCCTCTAGCATGGCCACCAGCAAAATGGAACTCGATACTTCCACCCATAACATACACATGCTCTTTTCCAGAGGTCACTGGATGGGACTGAAGTTCCAGCCATGCAATCATTTGGTCCTTCTGGTGAGTGACCATGTTTGGAGACTATCTAGGGGTTGTGCTTTTTCACCATAGGTGCTGAAACCAAGCTATATTCTTAAGCTACTCAACATTACATAAAACTGATTTTTGAGACTGTGCCTTGCCCTGAGAGACTCCATTTTATAAGCAGCATCTGGCTCTAATTTGGGTAGAAACAAGGATAAGGATGACTCGGTCAGTACCTTGGAGACATGTAAATAAGAGTCCATCTGTCGCCACCCACAAGGCACAACTGATAACGTTTCTAAAGTAAAAACAATACCACCCTATAAGTTTGCCAAAGTAAACAGATGAGTACATAAGCATGTTAAAACTGTATCAAGAAATTCAGCAAGAACTTACTAAACATAGGGTTTCTAGTGCTGTGAAAAGACACCATGACCACAGCAACTCTTACAAAGGAGAACATTTAATTGGGGCTGGCTTACAGTTTCAGAAGTCTAGTCCATTATCATCATGATGGATCATGGCAGTGTGCAGGCAGACAAGGTGCTGAAGAAGGTGCTGAGAGTTCTACATCTTGATCCTCAGGAAATAGGAGTCTGTAGTAGATGTAACTTAAGCATATATGAGACCTCAAAGTCCACCCCCACAGTAACACACTTCCTCCAACAAAGCCACACCTACTCAAACCACCCCACTCCCACTTCCTGTCTGCCCTAAGATTATAGCCACGTCGTAATACAAAAATGCATTCAGTTCAACCTCAAAAGTTCCCATAGTCTGGAACAGTCTCAAACTTATGTAAAAGTCTAAAAGTTCAGTCTCTTCTGAGACTTGTGCAGTCTCTTAACTGTATTCCCCTGTAAAATTAGAAACGCAGATCACATACTTCGCCGGGCGATGGTGGCGCACGCCTTTAATCCCAGCACTCGGGAGGCAGAGGCAGGCGGATCTCTGTGAGTTCGAGGCCAGGCTGGACCGACAGCCTCGAAAACAATACAGAGAAACCCTGTCTCGAAAAACCAAAAAGAAAAAAGAAAAGCAGATCACATACTTCCAACATAATGGCACAGGATATGCATTATTGGTCCAAAAGGTAGGGAAGGAAGCATAGTGAAGAAATACTGGAACAAAGCAAGACCAAACACCAGCTGGACAAACTCCAAACTCTGCAGCACCATGTCTGATGTCAAAATGGTCTTTAGATCTCCAATTCCTTTTAGCTTTGTTGACTGCAACACGTTTCTTTCTCTTAGGCTGATTTCACTCCCTGCCTTCCTCAGCAGGCATCCCATCTCCAACGTCCTGGAGTCTCCAAAGCAACTCAGTCTTCACCTTCGCAGCTTCACACTATGGCCTTCCCTGACATGCCTGGCCTCAGAGACTTTCCTTAGTCATGCAGGAACCTCTTTCT